ATGTAAGTGTGTGGTTTGTATAGAGATGAGGCTCTAAACAATCAAAGTATAGCGCACCTTCAAATAGTGTCGAGAAATGTGGTTTCAATACTGGAAATCTTTGTGATAATCCCAAAAGATATTTTTATCTTTAAATATAAAATTTAAAGCTTAAAAAATAGTGTAGATTGAGTAGATCTATGGAAACTTGAAAATCTTTAAAATTGATGATCCAAAAATGCATTATAAGATCTACCAAAATTTGAAATCCATTTTTTTTCTCATGTCCACGCATCTTAATATCAAGATGATCAATTTGTGGATATTTGGCTGTCAAGACAACCTCTTCTAGTGAAATAATTGAGGTGGGCTCTAATTCAATTGTTTAGAGCCTTGGCTCTATATAAACTTTTTCCTTTATGTAATATATATATTTTATTATATAATATATAATATATTTTAGTTATATAATAAATATTTACAATACAATATATATTATATAACATTTTTTATGTTATATTATATTTTTAGCAAATAATATTCAAATAGCACTTAAATACCAAACAAGTTACCAAACATATGTAATTCATAATATAATACTTTTTAAACGTGTTAACAAATATGGAGAAAAAAAAGTTTGCAAAAGTTTATCGTGCAAAATGTTTAAATATGTAAATACTTTTCCAAAATATATTATCGATGTTATATTTATAGCAAATAATATTAGACTCACTCCTATTTCCTAATATAATTGGCCAAAAAGTCGGTAGGTTTTGTTCTTCTTTATCTCTCCTCCAAATGAAATGTAAACATAATTTTTGGAAATATATTTTTAAATCTTACAAAATTTTAGGAAACTCACAAAATAATCCCACTATATTTTTATATTAAATTTTTTTAGCACTTTTGTATATTTTCTATTATACAATCAAGTCTTAATTTTTTTCATTCTTCTCTTTATTCCCAAATTATTCCTAGCTTAGACATTGGATATCCAAACTGTGGTCTTTTTCTCCATTTTATTCTTTTTGTTTATTGAAAGAGTCATACAGATGTTGGACATTTGAACCCACTTCCCCACGCCTTTTTATTTTTTTTGTCAGTGAGATGAGATTGGACAACAATGTCCGATCCAATCCACATTAACAAAAAAAAAGAAATGAATAGATGTGGGAATTCAGTCACTTGAATATTTAGTAAAAAAAAAAGTTTATATAAGGTTGCAATCTTCAGTTCAGATGTTGGATGTCCAAACTTATGTCTTACTTGTCATTTTCTTTCTTTTTTTTCTTTTTTTTTTTTTTTTTTTAGCAAAAAGAATGTTCAGATATTAAAAACGACTGATTTCCATGCTGATGCGAAAAATCTGGACTAAACATGCAATATCCGAAGCGGTCTTTCACTTTCACTTTCACTTGACGCCCAATTCAGATATTGGATGTCCAAACTGGGGGTAATTTGAAAATAAACAACTAAAGAAGCACTTCGGCTTAAAAGATAAAATATACATAACTTTTTCTGAATGTCAAAATTATACTGAATTTTTCAGTAAATTTCCCCCAAAGTTGTGACTCTTTATAGTTCTTGATGGATATCTCAAGTTTTACCCTAGGATTCGAGGGATTAGGCTCTTTCTTAGTAACCATACGATGCATCAGCGTGTAAAAGTCTTGATCCATTTTTTAATTAAGATGTAAAAGATAATATTTTTTATTGAGCTTAGACTTTTCTTCTCTAATTTTAGGGTGACATATTATTAAAACGAGATAGTATGAATGAAAAAATATGTGAAAATTAAAATTAATCAAGGGAGTGTGGAACTGGGGTAGTTTGGGAATAAAAAAAAATCAGGAAAGTTTGGGATGGGCAGAAAATACCACGTTTTTAAAGTGAAAAGTTCATCAGCCAAATCTTATGCTTGAGCTTGAAAATAGATATTAACCTAGGCTTTTTAATGAGTACTACGCACCATTAAACCTTATCTTCTTTGTAGGGCAATGAATTTATTTTTTAGTTATTCTTATGAGAAAAATTTATACAAAAATTTGTTATACTTTTGGAATTGAAAAATAGAAAAGATTTGTATGCGTCAATCTTAAACCATGTAAGTACATAGGAAAGGGTTATTGTGACGCAGGAAAATCCTCCAATTGTTCAGAACATATGGATATAAGAACAAGTATTTGAAATCCTGAAAATGTCGCATCTTGTAACTCAGCCAATTTTGTGATGGATTAAAAACTTTTGAATCATTGATTTAAATTCCAACTTATCGACTTCGGAGTAAAAAAGAAGAAGAAGAAACACAGGCCTGAGTCAATGACGCCTACAATAACCCCGTCACCGGAGTTGGCCTTGCGTAGAAGGGTTGAGGGTAACTTAGGGTTGAGGCCAAGGAAGTCCCAGCTTCTAGTTGTATGTAGCTTGTACATGCGGTTTGGTAGCACACGTACCACACCCTCAAAGCCTGCATCACTCACATTTACAATGCATGTACCATGTCATTATTTAAAAAACCAAAGAAAAAAAGTTTTTAAGTCAAAATAACTTATGCTCCCTGGGGAGCATTTCCTCCATTTACTCCCTTGGGTAAACTTCTTGCCTCGAGTATTTTTAAGACCACAAATTTTGGAACTATAACCTCTACATTCCATCAACCAACTTCAAAGACATTCACCTTAAAAAAAAAGACGTCCTAATATTGAATCTAAAGTGGAACAAAGAAACTCTAATTTTAAATGGTCACATCAAAGTGTTCAACTAAAAAAATCCGAATGTCCGTTTAGGAAAGTGAAAAAAAAAAGGATCTTTGCTTGTATGTGCTCTAGATGTTATTCGGGATGGAAAAGTCTACAAAATAGACTATTTATTTTTTTTATACTGGGAGATCACAACTACTATTGCCTGTCAAATTTCAAGTCAGGTGGTCACAAGAATGACATTGACTCGACATGAAGTTCCAAAGAATAATTCTTAAATTTTATGACACGCCAAGATTTTGACATGTAATGATTAAGAATAATTATGACCTCCTTGTAATAAATGACACGGTCTCATGGTAAGCGATCCGATAACCTTGCCTATGTGATGGCACCACAGCTATTATGAGCCATTCGAATTGCTGAAATGGGCTTTGATATCCTTAATTCTTAAAATTTTTATTGTGATAAGTTTTATTTTCCTCTAATAAAATTATCTCATCACTTATTTACCTGAAAGGATCTTTGCTTGATTTTCTGTTAGCTTTGCAGCAAAGCCTGAAAAGCCATATCTGTAGCTATACACCATTGACTCCCGAGCTGCTTCAGCACTACAAAAATATTAAACCATAGCTGCTTCTATGTTAAATTCTGGGTTCATTCTAAATTCAATCCCGGCAGCTGAACCACAAAACGGAAAAAGAAGAGAAAAAAAAATCTGGGCAAAGGAAAAGTCAGCAAACTGATGTCACACCTCCCGTGCAGTTTCGTGAGTATGTCATGGTGCAAGTCCCGGACAACGTCGGGATCTTCATGGTGCTTCGCTCCCAAATAGACAATGCGCACCTGAAACACCCTCTATAATTACTTAGATATGTTTAGCTAAACTTAATGCTCACCATTATGGAAAGAAGGTAAAGGGGTTCTTGAACCAAGCCATTTCTTTGTGCTGTCTAAGCTGAATAGTGGTTTATTCATATCTCTGGTTATGAATGGAAAGTGGACTGCCCATTGTGTATCTTGCGGTTCTCCAAAGAAAAAGCTTCATACTTCATATGATCCTGATCGATCAGAATTGGACATAATTTTTATTTTTTTCAAAAAACCACATTTCTCTCAAAGATAAGAGCATTATTTCTGCGAAATCAAAAGTTTCAAGTCTGCAACTTTGGGGGTTTGAGATGAAGGCATGCAAATTGCAAGCATGAGGTTGTGGGCTCTTCAAACCCAGCCAAACTACCTAAACTGAAAAATAGAAATGACTATGATCCTCATGTATAATCCTTCATCGGCAAATGAAATTATAGTCCATAAATAAATAAATATGAAATCGCTAGTCATGAATGGGAATAAGAGAACATGGAAAGGAAAAAGTTATTAAACCAAGAGTCATTGTAAGGATATGCTCACATTGCTTGCTTCTCCCACACACAGCTTAGGAATCTGTGGTACAAGAAGAGAGAGCAATAGAAGTTGAAAGAATCCCATCTTGGTGTGCGTGTGCGTGTTCATTTGCTTATTGTACAAGAGAGGTTGATGCAACTATTTATAGGCCACAAATATGGTAATAGGGTTATAAAAGATCACTAATAAAAAATCAATAATATATTTTTTTTGTGTTTGGTGGGGTAACCAGCCCAGTGCCAGTCACAGTTATACGGAACATTCACCCCAAAAAACAGGAAACAAGTGATTTCCACAAATCTTTCCTCATGCATAGGAAGTTCAAAGCTCTACATTCTAAAACGTGAGTAATGAGAATATATTCTAAGGGAAAACAGCCTCGGCTTAATTGGTTAGTGCTTATGATTTGTAAGGCTACGTCTTAGGCTAAATTTCCACTAAGGAAGGGGCCTTCTCCTCACTAATTCACCCCAAAATAAACAAGCACAAAAAAAAACCAGCAAAAACGTATAAAGGTATTTAGATCATACAACAAGGGACCAGCGCTTTTTCTTGGAAGCACTATATTTTGTGGTCTATATCTAAAGAGCACCATTTTCAGTGGTCTCTTTCTCCAGAGCATTTTACACAACATCGTCTGGCAAGCACCATAAAAAACCACCACAAAAACCAACCAGATTGGGGGTCCTACCGCCCTCGATTTCACACACAACATGATCTGACAAGCACCATAAAAAACCATCACAAAAGCCAACCAGATTGGGGGTCCTACCGCCCTCGATTTCACATGATCGAGTCAAAAAAAGATTCCTCGTAGTGGACTTCAAAAGCATTCTCTCTCTTATAATTAGCCCATTTTTCACCAATTCCATCAACTAGAGAGAGACACAGATGAATACTCCAAATAATGAACCTCCTCATCTTTTTGAATTGCATGCTTCTCTTATCCACGGTTACGCTTTAATCATTCCAATGGGGGAATTACCTGTTCTAGATATTGCGAGGCCCATTACATGCACACCATCTTCCCCCCCATCTCTGAAGGGCCATCACATGCACACCATCTTCCCCCCCTCCCCCCTCACTGAAGGGCTACAACTTCATGCTATTATTTCTTCTAGAAATTGCTTGGCGTCCTTGCCACGAGTGAGCGGCACCTGTGATAATATTTGATTAAATGGGGTATTATATAATCACAACCCAGTACTATCATCTCGCAAATTTGGTTGAATTTGATGGGTTCTACCTTAATATTGAAAATGTTAAAAATGGCATCCTTAAAACGTTTAGGGATTGGTTTTCTTCAACCAGTGAGTGGCGAGGAGTTTCTAGGGTCGATATTTTTGTTAATCTTAAGAATCTAGTCTTCTCTTTTACACCAATCTGTCGCCCTCACTATCTTTGGAAACCTCCCCTTGAAGGCTCTCTTAAACTTAGTTTTGATGGGAGGGCAAGTGACCCTCTTCTTAAGCCACATCTTTGTAGAGAGAGAGAGAGGAGAGAGAGTTGTTTTTTTTGGGTTTATTATAGTCTCTTAAAGAGAGAAAATCCTATGAGCGATATAAACGTAGACAGAGAGAAAACCTTAGAGAAAAGGGAAAACCTTGAGAGATAAAGTCTCAAAAAACTGTTAGACAACCTAAGAAAGTTTACATCTTGGAAGAACATTGTAACTATTATTTTTATTAGTAGATTTAAAATCTTTCTTCAATGGACGTAGCTTGAAAATATGAACCACGTAAAATCTCATATCAATAAGTTATTTATTTTATTTGCGTTATTGCATGTTTTCTCATACACACGTACATCATTTTGGTATTTTGTGCATAAATATGGGTTCCGCTGCACGCATCGGCAATAGTCGTATGAGAAGGCTCAATTGGGTGAGCCCAACAAATAGTGCATCTTGCAACAAATTATCTAGACTGTCAATTTTCAAGATATATAGATGTTTGTAGTTCTATTTGATTTTAACTATTTTTGGAGTTTAAAATTTTATAATTAAATATGAAAGTAGATTTTGAGATAATTATAAGAATTTTTTACACCAAAATTACATGTTACGATAAAATTTGCAGGTGTGCCTTAATTGGATCGTTTAAAGTTGCAACCTTATAGAAACTACACACTTACGATGGGAATAAGTTTATATTAGGTTGCAACCTTAAGGTGTAGAATTAAAGATGAACCTAAAAATCTATCAAAAAAAGTTGTTTTAATGTTGAAAAACTGTCTAATTGATCATTTCGGCATTGAGATGTATGTAAATGGCAAAAAGAAAGATTTTGAGTCTCATAAATAGTGCATCTTACAACAAATTATCTAGACCGTCTATTTTCAATATATATAGATCTACTTGATTTTAACTATTTTTGAAGTTTAAAATTTTATAATTAGATATAAAAGTAGAGTTTGAGATAATTCTAAAATATTTTAACACCAAAATTATAAAATTTGGAGCTGCGCCTTAATTGATTGTTTAAAGTTTCTAACCTTACAGAAACCACACCCATTACGATAATAGCCTTCATATGATTCTAATATGGCGAAATTAACCTTGTGAACCCATTTCATCCCACCTTTGATATGTTGCACGCATATTTCATCTATGACAATAACGCCGTTGATATGTTTCTGAAAAGACAAAATGACAATAACGCACTTGATATTTTTCTTGAACGGCCAAATTACCGCTGTTAATTCGACACCCTGCCTCTCTCCCCAATAATGTTGTTAATAATGTCGGTAGACATCTTCTATATTTTTCATCAAGGTTTTAATAATTTTTTCAAATTTCTATTCCTTGATTTTTAAAATTTTTATTTGTTGATCCATAGTTGTTCTCTAGAGGGGCGAATGGGTCTTGGGGTGGCAATGGAGCCGGACCAAACCAGGACCCGAGGGGTAGACCTGATCCGAGTCTGGGTATGGGTCCAAAAATTGAATCCAGCAAGTCCGGTTTGGGTTTGGAAATATTTTTCCGATCCTATTAGATGGAATATTTAAATATAGTTAAATATATAAATATTTTAATTTTTGGATCGGATTCGATTGGGTTTCGGGTTGGGGCCATATCATTTTTCAAGTCTGGACCCGATTCGCCCGGTTGCCATCCCTATACGGGTCACGAAACTATGTTTGTAAACCTCGTTTTACAATAATACCCTTGAATCAAATTACCAAATTACCGTTGTGATAGGACCAATTATCCTTTTGAAATTAACAATTTTATAATGTCCGTATGAGAAAACCTATAGATTTTTTTTTTGTTTTGAACCATAATGCCTAAACCTCGTTTTACAATAATACCCTTACCCTTGAATCAAATTACTAAATTACCGTTGTGATAGTATTCTTTTGAAGTTAACACTTCTATAATGTCCGTATGAGAAAAGCTATTGTTTTTTTTTTTTTGCTATTGAACCATAATGCCCCAATTAATCGTTTTGGGATCCTTTTCTTTAAATAAAAAATGGGAATCCGCCCTAGCTTTTTTGAGGTTCGGTTCCGATTTGATTCATGTGGCTCAGACAATTTTCGAGATGGATGAGTCCGTATTTATTAAAAATTGAAAACATAATCTAAAGAACAGAAAGTAGAGGTGATCGTGGGGTTCAACCAGTAAGAACTAATTACCTAATCCCGATCTGTCTCAAGAGATTCCAAGTTAGATCGACAAGTTCTGAAAATTCAAAGCATGGAGAGTCTAATCATTTTCTCGCTCTCTAATCTACAGAATGTTTGTGGAATCATGCAAACGCTTGAGACTAATGAAAAAGCTCCGAAGCCATGGGACTAGGTACTCTCTCTCTTGCTCTCTCTTAGTCAATTAAAAATGATCCATCCATTAATGTCGAAACTTTGAATGTTGCAGCTCCAAGAACCCCTCAGAAATGCACCAACAACGGGTGAAGAGTGGCCCGAAGGAATGATTCAAAGCATGTACAGAGAATCAAGAGATATTGGCTTCCTTGTCTATTTTCGTTTGTTTTAAACTTTTGATCTTCTAAACTACAATGTGGCTAAGTAGAAAATAAATTCACATGTACCTGTAATCCATATGAATTAACAGTGTGTTAATATGTGTTGACTTTGGTTTGATTTTGTTTATAGACATGCTAAATTCAGTTTATTGTTATCAATAAGACATGATTTATATGGCATTCGCATACTAATCCACCATATTTATGTGCCTCATTTTTGTTACTTTTTTTTTTTTAAACTTTTTTTTGTAGTAGATCTTTCACTCTCCATGTATGAAAGAAAATAACACATTGTCAATATGTTAAACTGTTGTATTATTGAGCCTTATGCTTCAATAGCGGCACGTGAGATTATTTAAGTGTGTGGTTCACATAAGATATCAACCTTAAACAATCAAAATAAGGCACATCCTAAATTCTATTGTTAGATGCAATTTCATTTCCGGAAACCTGCTTGAAAATCTACTTTAGTAGCTAATTATAAAATTTAAAGCTCTAAAATTAGAGTAGATCGAGCACATCCATAAAAACACTTAAAAATCTTGAAATAGATCGTCTAGATAAGATGTAGTATTTTTAAGACTTCAAAGTTTTTTATTCATGTTCATACAACTTGAGGTCGAGATGATCAATTTGAGAGTTTTTCAGTATTTGAGTAACTTTTTCGGATAGATTTTTGAGGTACAACTTATTTTAAAAGGCACTTAGTTAAGAATATTTGTTGAACTTCAATAGATATCTGCATAGGAGTCGTACATCACCCTGCGTACAGCAATCGGGCTACGAACAAAGTGCTCGCCATCACTCCAAATCAAACTCCCAAAGGTATAGTCCCCCTACATCTGGTGTACCACTGTGAAGGTCACCTTGAAAGGAAGCACTTTGGTTGCATTATTGAAGTATAAAACTGCAAGTTCCACTACTACTTTCACACCAGTAGGAGACAAAACCATAGCTTGGTAGACTGAATGGACCTCACCCACATTGGTAACCTTTATTGTAATGGTCACTGAAGTTTTAAGCTCAGGAAGTACAATAGAGGGTAGGTTTAGATTTGGTATTGAGGGGGGCTCCTTAGGGCAGGAGATTTTTTCTGAGGCGACGAATGAGATGGCAGAATTGTTGTAGCCCATGGCACAGAGGAACATGATATGGTCAGAAATATCCATGTCATAAATGAGACCGGGATCAGCAGCTAGGTTAGCGATCACATGGCCACCACCGTAGTCGAAGGGGTCGGCCACCTTGCGGGGACTTCCCTCTGCTAGCATTGGCTCTTCATTTTTTTCTATTGTTGATGCTTCAATTGGAACGTATTTGCAGTCAATTGATTGTAATATATATTCAAATGATAGATATATGATCATATGCATATACCTGATTCTATGTTTTTTTTTTTTTAAATCCACAAGGCATCCATTTTTGTATCTCTTAGTTTTTTGAATTTTACAATTTATAATTCTTTTTTCTTTAGCACAAGTTAATTAAGGTATATGCTAAAGAGCATGAGGGTCCATGTGGCTTCTAGTGGATTTGCGAGAAGCCATCATAAACATCAAATTACTACCTGGATAGGCCATTTTTTTTAGCAAATAACCAGTAGCTCGTCATTAATTTTTTAGATAAACAAGGGCATTTTACAAAAAGATTGCATACTATAAAATCATTTACTTTTGGCAAGAGAAAAAAAAAATTGAAGAAGAAAAATACCAGTAGTTGCAAATGTGAAATCAGGCAACTATGTGTGTCATTTTTTGCTTCCAAAACTAAACGAGTGACTCAACCAAACAGGTAAAGTCTGGGTTTTTAAGGGGTTAAACAGTTGTCCAAATTAGTGATGAAAAAATTTCAAAGCCAAATTGGATTCCCCTAAGTCAGGTTGGGATCTGGAGCAAAGTGATTACTGTTCGAGGAACCCCATAATTGCTCCAAGTCTAGTAGTTATTAGCTTTTTGTTTCTTTCTTTTTACTATTTTCATTGTAAAATATAGCTTGATTCAACTAGGGAATGCTCGAGAGCCTAAATCTGAAGCAGACCTTGATGAGTCAGAGCCTGATTCGAGTTTTGAAACACTGGGTCAAAACCAATACCAATTTGAACTGGATCCAACTTGCAACTATGAGGGATTTTCATAAATGGCTTAACATGGTCCTTTGTCGGATGGAGAAAATGATATCAATTGGTATGGGCATCAATGGTTGGGTTGTTGACAATTGAAGCTCTACATCTTAGGTTCAAATGCCAAAATTGATCTTTCATGAGTGAGAGAGAGAGAGAGATGCACCAGTGGTGACAAGAGCGGATTTTATTACAGCAGGAGACCAATTGGGATAGATAGACTTGAGCAAAGCGACTAGGCCGGCTACATAGGGGCATGACATTGAGGTTCCTGACATGAATACAAACTTGTCGCTTGTCGAGTCTGACGTTGGTGCCGCAGCCAAAATGTAGACCCCAAGAGCAGTTATATCTGGCTGTTCCATGAAAAAAAACAAATAGATCTCATACTGTCTCAAAGTTAAATGGGCTTATTCTATGACATTTGTATGCCATTGATTTCATATGATTCACCATGCATGCTTGAAGGTTGCATTCAAAATACAATTGCGTCTTCAACTTTGTTATTTATAGAAATGCATATACTCACCATTTGTTTAAAGTTAATCACTTGTGCAATAGTAGTAGGATGGCTTGAAAATCATGATCTTGAAACCAAAACTAGATTTTGTGATCAAAATTTTTGTATGAGCAATGTCACCATGGTAAAAAATTTAGATGAAAGGGAATCCTTTGCAAAATTTGTGCCTAAACTTGTCCATTTTTGGTATCAAATTGTTGAAAGCACAAGATATTGCTGCTATTGTAACATGAGTATGGTAATTTTTTCAATCACCTTAAAGAGAGAAAAGTGAGCAACCATTTACCTTTAAAATAGTTGGAGATAAGGAATTGGGTCCTCGTGAGGAAAAGATGGCCACTTTGGGTGATTTTATGCTTCCTATTAATGTCTTTGAATGACTTATCTTCACCACTGGAGAACTGCATGCCACTGATCTTTTAATTCGAGTTTCAAAACTTGAACTAGGAATCAACAATTATTTTCAAAATTCATTACACTAGTAGCGAAATTTTCAAGGATTTGATAGGTTAGTAACCCAACTTCGATTAGGAACTTTGAACCCAAGATTGGAATAACTCCATTTCCATTTCAGAGAAAGTATATAAAAATTTCATAAATTAGGTCATATGCATCTTTGTGGATGGCTTGAAATTCTCCTTAGTTTCTCTAGTTATAACAGTAAAGAATAAGTATTCACAATGTTCTTTCCTTGAGGATGATTAACTTAATCCCACAGGGTTTTGGTGGTGAGTAGGGTGATCCTCACTTAGGGTTTAGCTCTCTTTCTTTATGTATTATGCTAAAACATCTTATGCTTTGACGATCCGATAAAAGTTCATTAAATTGTAATATGTAACTAATTATTGAGAATTTTTTTTTTTTGGGTGGAATGAGACTCTAAGCTCATTGTTGTATATCATTAGAGCAGACTTGGCTATATTTGTAAACATTAATCTATTGTAGGGTAAGCTCATATGACTACATTGATAAAATATTTAACATAGAATAAGAGGCCATGTATTATGAGAATTTGCAATTTAAAAGTCCATTTAGTAAGGGAACCAAGTTACTATTAGTATATTCATTTACCGTGTAAGCAGGTTCTCGCATTACATAGAACTGCAATGGTGATCATTGTTGGTGTCATTATTGTATCTTGCAACGTGACTTATCTTTATAGGAATATTCTGCTTGTCACAAAGTCAATAAATAGTTGATCATCTATACAATAACAGATGCTCACCTTACTTCATCATCATCATCAAATTCTTTTCTCAATTTTTTTGGGGTCTGCTATATTTATTCTTGTCTGCCATTCTGCGTTATTAGGAGTCGTAACCTCAATGAGCCCATAAGTCTCCATATCTGCTCCTCAGTGAGCCCATAAATATCTATATCTGCTAACTTTACTTCAAAAGATAAAAAGGTATACCACAATGATGTCTAATGGAGTGGTATATTCTTGCCAATAGTTTGAGATACTATTAGAGCAACATGTTTGGGTGTGTTTGGTGCCACTAAAAATCTCCAATAAAAATTTCCAAGAGGTAGAGCCTTGAGAAGGACCTATGCTATTTTTATTACCAGAAGGTCCATTGAAACAACCAATTATCAAGATATGGTGTTCAACAAATCATGCACATATGAGTATAAAGCTCTTTCAGAGGAATGAAATGGGTATAAAAAACCCATGGGTCTTAAGTGAAAAACAAGGAAGTTCTGAATAAGTTATTAAACTGTCTCACCACACGAGAACATTTGGTCAAAGTTTATAGGACAAGTTGACTGTCGAACAAGAACCGTGATCAAAACATTTATAGTTCAAATTCAAATAACAAATGATTCAATCTAAGCGTCATCGGCCTTTTGAATTGAAGAAGGAACGGCTAGAGATCAACAAAAGTTGGACAAAGACTTATGTTCTTCAACCATATCTCTCTTAAAGTCTATAAAACCACTCTAGTCAAAGGGAGGGGATCTTTTGGACACTTCGGAACAAAATTCATCCAGAGGGAACTTAAAACAACAACAAGCTAGTCCACACACAAAGAAGCAAGCAAGCAAGCTTGATTACTAACAGTAATTGCAGCTTAGACTCAACTTTACTAGGTGAGTCTCATTAAACCATTTGGCTTATGTGAGGGTCACTTTTATACTACATCTTTGATACAAGGATGGTCCTTGTTTATACAAAATGAACTGGGATGTAAAGTAAATAATGTGCCTAAGGTCCCTTAGAAATCCTCCCTAAATCCAATGTTCAACATAAGAAACTCATGATCCGTACCATAACGATCAAGATTGAGTTTCGTTTTCCCATTTATGTGTTCTGTAGTTTCATTTCAGTTAGAGTCATTTCTTCATTAAAATCTTTCAGGCACACTTTTGGGCAAATCACAGCTGTAAAATGCAACAAATGTTGGCAAGAGTTATAACTATGTGAACCAATAATTCAAAATTCTTCGGCCTTGAATGGGAATCAATTGAGTTGGATCAGAACTAGGTGGACAATTCCGATAGAAAATTCTAGAATCCGCCCAATACATCCGATCATCTGTTTTCCTTATTTCTTTGTGAATTATAACCTAGCCCAACTACTAGCAAAATCAAAATTGGACCCTCGCCGACTTAGGATCCATTTCCAAATTTTTTTAACACTGACTCCCACTCCCTCTAGGCATGTTCAGAAGAAAAAAAGGGCAAAAAATGTTCTCAAATGATTTTCAAATAGGATTATCATGACTACATCACCAATATAATAAATGCAATATATTTTGCCTCGAATGTCCTTTATAAGAACAAACTATTGAAATGAAGCATTCCTTTGTTGAAGTCCATTATTTGCTTGCCCAAAAACAAATGGACTGTATACCTCAACTATCAATCCTAGAATTGGTTCATAGAGCATGAAGCATATAGGCTCTTATATTTTTATTTATTTTAATGATATTCTAGAAGGATGGAATTCTAAGATAGAGGGCAAGATAGCTTGTAAAATATGATAGTGAAGAGAAGATAGCTCAAACACATCAGGGAAACGCTTTCTGGACAGTAGGCGAGTGAAAGTATTAGAGGTGAATTGGCTCGTTAAGTTAATCAATAAGTGACAAATGTAAGGGCCCATTTGGATGTACTCATTATCACAATAAAGTTAGTCCAGATAATAGGTTATATGCTTTTAGTTATGTCCATCATAATATATGAGATAACCTTATAGGCATTTTTATATATAAGTTTATCTTTTTGAGAAACTGTTTTTACTTTATTCACAAAAATTGTTGAACATCATATGTCATGAGCTAGAAATAACTAAAAATTATAGAAAATCACTAAAAAAATTAAATATTTAAATAATATTATGCAATTATGTACCAAACAACTAACAAAATAACACTATTCAGAGTACATGTTAATTTTGAAAAATGTTTATAAAAGGTTGAAACCTTAAACAATCAAATTAAGGTGCACCTAAAACATTCATTAGATGATAAATATTTCAATAATAAAAATCCCTCAATTCAATCATCACAATCTCCAGATGTATTGATACGAGAAAACAAAATAGATTTCACGTTTTAGAAATAGTGCATCTTGTATCATCTATCCCCTCAATTGTCAAGATTTTCAAATGTTCATAGATCTGCTTGATCTACACTATTTTTTAATCTTTTAATTTTATAATTCAAGTTGAAATAAATTTTAAGGTTATCATAAATATTTTTTATACTAAAACAATATATTTTAGTAATATTTGAAGGTGGACCTTAGTTTGCTTGTTAGGGCCTCAGCCTTATACAAACCACATTAACTAATTTTAGATACAATTAAATATTCCATAGAAAATTAAGTGTCATCCAAATAGGACCTAAGAGTTTCTTACCAAAAAAATAAAAAATAAAATAATAAGACGATTTTTAACATGAAGGGTACAAAAAGGAAATGACGTACTTGGTGGATAGCAGCATATAGGCGCGGATAGGTACATGCTAATGTCAGTCCAAAATTTGCCTTTTAGACATGAGAAGTTCATATATCTTTTAAATAAAGGGGGATGTGTATTTAGGTCACATTGAATATTTTTACATTGAGAAAAAAGTAGACAGCACATGTAGAGAGTAGAGATGCAAAGAAGCATATAAATAAGACACAATAAATTTTTTAATTAACAAAACAAACTAATGTAATTGAATACTATGAAAGACCTTTTGATGGAGTATCATTGGATTTATTGGAAATCAGAAATAGAATTTTGAATACGGTTTGGAATTGGTTCAGAGTGACGAAGGAGGGGTTTGAGGTTTCTAAAGTTGATGTTTTCTATAACTTGGAAAATTTGATAAATTACCGCTTCCTTAAGATTTGATCGAGATTGATATGGATCTCTCCAATAGAAGGTAGCTTTAAGCTTAATTTTGATGGTTCTTCGTTTGGATATACTAGGAATGCTGGAATTGGTGGTGTTTGTAGGGGTAGTGAGGGGTCTGTATTATTTTGCTTTGTTGGCCTGTGTGGGTTTGTAACATCTAATCACGCTGAATTGGCTGCCTTATTACAGGGGTGTTTGATATGGAAAGAGAAAAGTTTGGGAAATGCGTTGATTGTTGAAGGGGATTCTCTCAATATTATCAACTGTTGGTCTCATATTTTTAAAACCCCATTGTGACTTAGAGCTGTATGGTTACGGATCATGGATTCCTTGTCCTCCATGGTGGTATTTTTTCACCATGTCTACAGGGAGGCTTACTTGGCTGCTGATGAGTTGGCTAAAAAAGGGGTGGATCTTGATGGTTAATTATTTCCTCTGTTCTACTTTAACCAATTTATTTTGTTTTGACTTATTGCAATAAAAGTTAAATACTCTTGTCAAAAAAAAAAAAGAAAAAAAAAAAAGAAAAAAGAAAAAAAAAAAGAAACTCTAAGCTCTCAAAATGTAACTGAGTCTTTAATAAAACATTATTTCTAAGGAGTGAGCTTACCTGGACTTTGGGATGTAAGAAAGTATCTGAGTGCCAACTTGGTAATCCACTTGAGTGCATGGAATTGGTGTGCATGGAGTTAAGATGTTGTTTGATTGTTGCACAAAGATGGCACCTATTCCCCCCGCTGAAGGAACTGCTTGGGATGCTTGGGTAGTGCTAGGTGCGAAACAGAGAACAACCTTCCCTTTAGCTAACCCAGGCCTTAAAAATCCACTCAAGCAACGCCTGCATATTCTTAGCATTAGAAGGACTCCACTCTTTGAAGTTCAAAAAAGGAGAAAAAGGAAAGAAAGAAAGGTAATTGATGTGTGTGTGAATGTTATAAATACCCAATGTTCTCGAAACTGATACACAGTTGATTCATTGAGGACATTGGATTTTAGAAATATGAATTTGCATAAGAAAATATATATGATGATACCATTTATTTTTGATACAAAAAGCTCACAATCATTGTCAACTATGGGATGTGAAATCAAATCGATGGTGATGTGACACTAATTAAGCACAATATCCAAAACAAATTTCTCGAAAGCTGTGGTATATTTTAGTATGGTAGATTTCACATCCAGTGGTTAAAAACAATTGTGACATTTTTGTACAAAAAATGAATGGTTATACAATCCTTTTACATAAATATCACTCCAACCACATTTTACAAAACAAATATCATTACCCGTTATAAATTATATCCTCCCTTTAGGTGTGGTATACAAAGTAGTTAACCTCTTAACACTCAAACCCAGTTCCCCCCCAAAAAAAAGAAAAGAAAAAAGAAAAAAAATATAAAAAGGTGAAAATGATTTTGAAAGGGGAAAATTGTTATTAAATCACAATGTTTCTAGAGGTTAAACTTACTCAAAATACTAGAAAACCATAAATCAATAAATGCATCCAAAACTTTCTTACAATTTAGGTTCGAAAGTCATTTTTTGAAAAGGTTAGGATAATATTTGAAAATACAATGTAGCATCATCATATTAGTATTTACAGTATCCCTCAGTAGACTATGGACATTTATTGAATACTAAAGGGGACCTACTCACCTTTTATGGTTTTAAAAAGAGTGAGGTTTGTACAAGTTGCCCACCTCGCAATATATTAGTAAGGTGCATTTTTAGATTTTGTCAGAAGATGTAGTTCTGATGTTGAAAACTTTACAATAGATTGAAAATCTGTATTCAACTTTTAAAATTTAAAAAGCAATGCAGATCGAACAGATATATAAATACTTAAAAATCTTGAAAATAGACATTCCAAAAAACTTGTTAGAAGATACACTATTTTTAAGACATGATATTTTTTTATATATCCATACATCTTGAGGTCGAGATAATCAATCGAAAGGTTTTCCAACTTCATAATACTCTTTTGTACTTGATTTTTGAGATGCACCTTAGTTATATCCTACAAAGTTGCAACCTCATATGAATTTTTTCCTTTAGAAAATAGGAAAACTAGTTTGTGAATGAGACAGGGAAGTCCCAACACAGGCTAGGTGTTGGTCCCTCAAGGGACTCTTTGGACTGAGCCAGACTTCAATTTGTGTAATATACGCAGGACAAATGGACCATTCATAGGGTTTAGTAGGCTGGTTTCAACACAGCTTAACTTGGCTAGTTAGACTGAGATTGCAATTAACCCAGGTTTTGAATGGAACAATCAACATTCAGTGGCTAGGTAATTAAAACCAGGTGTCCAACTCAAACAATTGAGCAATTGAATTTAAAACCCAGTACCTTGGCCCCTAGAGTCATTGCTCAAGGTCAGGGAATGTTTTTATGTATTTTTGTGACAATTTGGCCCTAGGTTAGATGGATGGGAGCCTTGTTGGGCCTAATTTGACATCATTCTACCCAACTTTGAAAAACCTCTAAGAAAAAAAGGGTGCCTTCCTCTTTAAAGAAAGAATAGTAAAAGCATTGCAGTGAGTCTTGGCTTTTT